AGACGAACTTGAGGATAAATAAAAGTGGATTGAAGAGAGAAACCGCCAAAGAAAGAAGTTGAAAGGACATAAAATCCCAAAGGAACGTGGGTAACCATGGTGGTTCATTTATATCATGGGACACGTGGAGGGAGAAGTTGGCCGATGTACAGGAGCATTTATAAATGGACGTGGTTTAGAAGTCCGAAATGACAAGCAAGCCTCTAGTCACAGTCGCGTCCATGACTAAAGAAATGTTAATGCCATACATAAGGAACAGAATAAAGGGCAAGCAAAATAAGCGCAACTTCATTGTTCATAAAAAAAGAGTACATCTTTTCAATTGCAGTCCGAAAGGAAATATAGTCTATATCCAAATATAGGTTATCGGCAAGAAGGTGAGGTTTAAGGACGTTCCGACGATCCAAGGCTGTGACATAGTCCTGGGCCTCTTTGGTATGTTGAGTTACTTTTTTAACCTCAGCATCAAGAAAATGCCACGATCTAGTCATGTCGAGTTGATGAGCCAAAAGCGCTCGACGAGCTTCAACTAATTTAGCTTCAAGGTCGGAAATGTCCTTGACCAGGCGGGCTTCAGTACTAACCATCGCTTCATAAGATTGGAAAAGATGGTCAGTCGATTTCTTCTACTTCTCTACACCATCAAGAAACACTTGGGACTGTTTCTCTGATATGGCCAATGTTTGGAGCTGGTCACAGTTCCTTTTAACAGCTTCAAGGTCAAAAACAAACTTGGGGAGATACGCTTCACAACAAGTGTGGAATTGGCAGTATCTAGCACAGCTTGCGTCCTCACATAAAGCAATGAGAAGGATCTGGGCCTTTGTCTCGAGGAAGGGATCTGAAATGACCAACATAAGTCCGCCCTCCTATAGCTTGAGGAACTCTCAACATTTCTCCTTAGCAGAAAGGCTTGAAAGATCCTCGCTGCACCCAAAGGGGGTAGCCGAAGGTGTCGGCATGGCTTCAAGGAGTGCCTTCCTAGCACTAGCAATGTCTCGGGAAGTGGGAGTGCAACTCCGCTAGGGTCAAGCTCAGAAGTCGATCCAATAACAAAAGGAGCAGGTCTGCGACAAGAACGCTGAGACCAACCAGCAGTTAAAGTATTGGAATAAGCCATGAGCAAAGAAAAACATGAAAAGATCCAATTCTAACGTTACATATGAAACTTACCAAAGGATCGGATAATGCCGCGGTAGAGACCGTCCGTACCACAGATGGAGATGTCGGTTCCAAAGCCATTGGCACCATAGGCGAAAGATCAGGCTTTAAACCTGGAACTGACACATTACCCGTAGGAGATGCAGAAAGCTCAACTAAACCCTGGGGAGAATCAGGTGTTGGCAAAGCAGGAGGCATGTTTGGAATAAGGACCTCAGTAGTCCCACTTGGTATGAAACCGGACTCTGAGCCGTCGACTGCCCCATCACCGGATAAAGCGTCAGATTCTGCGGCATCACCTGCATCCCTAACAGATGGAGAAGCTAGCTCTGTGGCACGAGGGGTAGTAGCCGCTGAAGGACCATCAATTAGAGCCGATTCAACTTTCGATGATGTCGAGATATCGACAGGAGTAAGGCTCGAAGCCATAACTTCGATAACAACGGGATTAGAAGAGGAGCAAGTGGATAAAGTGGAAGCTTTCGACATCTCAGAGGCAGACTTGGACGAGCGTATCCTGGTCTTAGGAGTGGTAGCACATTCAGTACCTTCTGAGAAAGAAAAGTTAAGAGGTGAGATGCAGATCATCTAGATGAAATAGCAGGAGAAAGGAAAACAAATACCAGGTTCCAAAACCCTCTTCAATGTTCTACGGGGAGGAAAAGTTTGCGATTGCAGGGAAGTCTCGGGAGTCTTGGAAAGAAAGCCCCTACCAGCGATCTTGCCCAGTATGTCATCAATCTCAGAAGTAAAGAGGTCATCCCGATAATCCTTCCACCAATTCTCAAAGCTTTGAAGAACACTCGGAGCCGGCGCAAAAGACCTAGCTACATGATTCTTTGACACCTCTAAAATGATTCGGCGACAGCAAACGAAAGGATTCGAAGTCTTGGTGACAGTAAATATACGCTTCTCGTTGAAAGGAAAGTCCATGGAATAGGGGGCAAGAATCGGAATACCCTGCGTCAACCTAAATTGCCGAGCGCAGTATTGAGAGGAATATACTTCAACCCCAGACTTCAGTTTTCCTTTGAGAGACAACCTCAATGTCAGATCGGATGCAACTAAAACAGAAAGCCAGAATTTCTAGGTATCTTTGGGGCAAGAGAAAGAAAAGATATCTTGGAAATCTGGGAAAGAAACACTACAAAAAAAACAAGGATTTAGCCACGGAAATTAGCGACGAATAATTTTTCGTCGCTAATTAGCGACGGAATTTGCAACGAATTTTTTTTTCGTCGCAAATTAGCGACGAATAATTTTTCGTCGCTAATTTCCGACGAAAAAAAAATTCGTCGCAAATTTGCGACGAATTTTGCGACGGAAAAAAATCCATGGCTAATTTGCGACGGAATTTGCCACAAAAAAAATTCGTGGCTAATTTGCGACGAAATTAGCGACGAATTTTTTTTCCGTTGCTAATTTGCGACGAAAAAAAAAGTCGTCGCTAATTTGCGACGGAATTTGCCACGAAAAAAAATTCGTCGCAAATTTGCGACGAAATTATCGACAAATTTTTTTTCCGTTGCTAATTTGCGACGGAAAAAAATGTCGTCGCTAATTTGCGACGGAATTTGCCAGGAAAAAAAATTCGTCGCTAATTTGCAACGGAATTTGCGACGAAAAAGTTTTCGTTGCTAATTTGCGACGAAGTTAGTGACTTATTTTTTTTCGTCGCTAATTTTGCGACGTAATTTGCAACGAAAAATAAATTCGTCGCTAATATATGTATTGCGTGTCAAATATTTACTAATATATAAATGTAAATTGTTAATAGGATTTTTCAAACTTCAATGTATGAACTACCACCAAATGAGTTGGACCGTTTGTGCGATGAACAATTTGCAGCATGGTTCAAAATATATGTAAGTTGCCTATGGACTAAAATCAAGTTATTAATATTTTATACATCATTTAAATATATATTATTGACTTTGCGTGTGTGACCTTAGGTTCACAGTAATCATGATCAAGTTGAAGAGCAAAGATTGCTATATTATCTGTCATGGGGTCTAAAGTCAAGAGTACGAACTTGGCCAGCATATTTCATAAACGGGTATAATTTTCACACTCAAGAATATTGAATGGGAAAAGCCACAATGAATAGTGGTGTGTGTGTTCGGTCATCCAATGGTTGCAGTTCAAAAGATGATTTTTATGGCTTGTTGGATGAAATCATGGAAATAGAGTACCCCGGACCATTAATGCGGGTTGTGTTATTTAAGTGAATGTGGTTCGACCCCGTCAAAGGAATGAAGGTGCATACGAAGTTTAATTTAGTTGAAATAAATTACAAGAAAAGGTATATGAAATATGAACCATTTGTGTTGGCACAACAAGCAATTCAAGTATATTATGCATCATATCCTAGTTTGAAACGTGACAAAACTGATTGATTGGCTGTATCTAAAATCAAAGCACGACGAAAAATCGAGGAACACTGGAAGGATACAGCATATCAACAAGAGGAAGTTTGTAACATGGTTCAAACTGAGGAATATGATGATGATGACGATGACGACGACGATGACGACGATGATGTTCAAGAAGAAGATGAAGATCAAGATGAAGACGAAGGTGAAGATGACGATTTAGATTTTTGAGACTTTTTACTAATTATGTCGTAATTATTATTATGACAAGAGTTTATTGTTGTTGTCATATTTATTATTATTGTTGTTGTCGTAATTATTAGTATTGTTGTTGTTGTTGTTGTTATTATTATTGTTGTTGTTGTTATTGTTGATTATTATTATTGCTATTATTGTTACTGACACGTTATTATCGAGAAAAAAAATGAATTAGGCATGTGTGGGCTAGTAGAAATGAAATTCATGGCAAATTTGCACGGATTTAACATTTGAAAAAAAAATGAATTGCGGGCATTTGCCACGTATTTTAGCCACGAATTTCATAAAAAATGGACGTAGGCATGTGTATGGGCATTTTTTTACGAAATTCGTGGCTAAAATCCGTGGCCACGGATTTTTGCCACGGATTTTCAAAAAAAAGGACGTAGGCATGTGTATGGGCATTTTTTTATGAAATTCGTGGCTAAAATCCGTGGCAAATTTGCCACAGATTTTAGCCACGAATTTCATAAAAAATGGACGTAGGCATGTGTATAAGCATTTTTTTATGAAATTCGTGGCTAAAATCCGTGGCAAATTTGCCATGGATTTTAGCCACGAATTTCATAAAAAAAAATGAATTGTGGGCATTTTTTTAAAATTCGTGGCTAAAATCCGTGGCAAAATTTTTAACCACGAATTTCATAAAAAAAATGAATTGTGGGCATTTTTATGAAATTCGTGGCTAAAATCCGTGGCAAATTTGCCACAGATTTTAGCCACGAATTTCATAAAAAATAGACGTAGGTGTATGGGCATTTTTTAAAAATTCGTGGCTAAAATCCGTGGCAAATTTGCCACGGATTTTAGCCACGAATTTCATAAAAAAAAATGAATTGTGGGCATTTTTATGAAATTCGTGGCTAAAATCCGTGGCAAATTTGCCACGGATTTTAGCCACGAATTTCATAAAAAATGGATGTAGGCATGTGTATGGCATTTTTTAAAAATTCGTGGCTAAAATCCGTGGCAAATTTGCCACGAATTTTAGCCACGAATTTCATAAAAATGCCCACAATTCATTTTTTTTTTATGAAATTCGTGGCTAAAATCCGTGGCAATTTGCCACGAATTTTAGCCACGAATTTCATAAAAATGCCCACAATTCATTTTTTTATGTCCGTGGCTTTGTTTAGCGACGAACTCTTCTGTCCGTGGCAAAATTCCCTAATTTTGCTCCCCGCCCTCTCTCAAATTTGCCCGCCCTCACCCCAATTTTTCTCTCTCTCTCTCTGTTATTCCTCGGATCCCCCCCTTCCGCCAAACACCTCTCCGTCGCTCCCTCCTCCCCTCCACCAGCCATGATGGCCACCCTCACAGCCACTGCCGCCGTCGCCTCCTCCTCCGTCGCCATCCGCCCGTTCCGCTCCCACAAGCCCTCCCGCGCGCCCGCCGGGATCAGGTGCTCCGTCGCCGAGGGCCCCGCGATCTCCCAGCCGAGGGCCGCCGGCGGGGGACTGGTTGATTGCGTGGTGGTCGGGGGCGGGATCAACGGGCTTTGCATCGCCTAGACGCTCACCACGAAGCACCGCGACAGAGCCCCCGACGTGGTCGTCACCGAGGCCAGGGACCGCGTCGGCGGCAACATCACCACCGTCGAGAGGGACGGCTACCTGTGGGAGGAGGGCCTCAATAGTTTCCAGCCATTCCGAGATTGGTACGTTCCCATTCCGAGATTAATACGTTCCGTCGGTCCCATTCCGAGATTTGTACGTTCCGTCTACTCTGATTTTGTGACCTTCTTATTGAAGTTCTCGAGTATGTTCGTGTGTCAACTGATAGATATATCGTCGGATTATTGTAATGGTTGTCGTTGCTCTTGTTTCGTTAGAATTGGGTATAGTCTTGATCGAGAAATGGAGATGATGTTTGTGAGTTTATAGGGTAAATGGGTCAGGATAGGGTGCTTTGCAAGTGTTTGATGAATGACCCAGTTCTCCAATTTGAGAATAGACGTGCAATTTTGGACCTTTTTTTATGCTGTTGTGAATAGCGGGGCGAGGCTCGAATCGGCGTGAGTTCTTTCTTGGGTGTTCTTCCTTTTTTTTTTTTCTGGGGAAAAGGAAGAAAATGGAGAGGACAAAGCAATCGTTGGATAGATGCTCAAGAACACTCAGACTTCACTTGCAGAAGGTAGTGCTTCATGTGTTAATTTTTGTGAAGCTTTCGTTGGATAGATGCTTGCGACCTTTTTTAGCCAGGTTATGGCTGCTATTGGAGGAAATACTGCAGGTCCAGGTAGGAGGACTTTAATTTTAAGCCCTTGAGTTAATAACTATTTTAGTTCACATTTCTATTATGGTATTGATTTTCATCTTTTGTTTTTATGTGCACAGGGGATGCTGTTGTCAATGTTTACATAAACCATGAAAAGAAGTTTGCTTTTGTGGAAATGAGATATGTTGAGGAGGCAAGCAATGCAATGGCCTTAGATGGCATTATCTTTGAGGTAAGTTCAATTACATTTTTAACATAATTCTACATTTTTTCTTGCGGTGGATCTGCCCCCTTTTTTCGAGGACATTCATATATCTACAACATTGACAAAACGTTAACTAGTTTGAATTTTTGTGCAGGGAGCGCCTGTGAAGGTGAGGAGGTCCATTGATTACAACCCCTCCCTTGCAGCAACTCTTGGTCCTAGCCAACCTAATCCTAACCTAAATCTTGGTGCGGTTGGTTTAACCCCGGGTTCTGCTGGTGGGCTTGAAGGTCCTGACCGCATTTTTGTGGGTGGATTACCATATTACTTTACAGAAGTGCAAGTGAGGGAGCTGCTGGAATCTTTTGGTCCTCTTAGGGGTTTTGATCTAGTGAAAGACAGGGAGACTGGAAATTCCAAAGGCTATGCTTTTTGCATTTATCAAGATCTCTCAGTCACGGATATAGCTTGTGCAGCTCTCGATGGCATTAAAATGGGCGACAAGACTCTCACTGTTAGGCGTGCTAACCAGGGTGCAAACCAACCAAAACCTGAACAGGAGAGTGTTTTGTTGCATGCACAGCAGCAGATAGCTCTGCAGGTGAAAGGTTTTTACATTCATCGTTGAGGAGTCCTTTTGCATGGTCAAGTTTTTCTACAATTTCAATTTTTTGGCTAATTCTTGCAATTTCAGTTCCGTGAATTATAGCAGCATTGTTGACATATTCTCGAGTATATTCATAGTAGTTTTTTTCAGCGTCATCTCCGCTTTTATTTTATTTTGCATCTGTGAGTTGGAACTTTAACTGAGATGTGGTTCATTGAATGTGTGACATTGGTTTCTTCTTTTTAATTTGTCTTGTTACGATTATGTCCTCAAGTCTAAATTACCAAGGCTTTTTAACTTTTGCAGAAGCTTATGTATCAACTTGGTGCACTTGCTACTAAAGTGGTATGTCTAACACAAGTAGTTACTGAGGATGAGCTTAAAGATGATGGGGAGTATGAAGATATATTGGAGGATATGAGACAAGAAGGCGGAAAATTTGGTAAGAACTGTTTATATAGTTCTTGTTAATTTCTGCTCTTATTTTGAGGTTTTTGACTCGCCAAAAGTATATTAATATTTTTGTTCTTTCTTTGTGCTGTATCTCTATTTTACAGCCTTTTCTTGTTCCACATTCTGCTTAAAGAATCGGGCCTAACATTCAGAAAGAAGTTTCCAAAGCCTTATATCTTCACCTAGATTTCAAAATCTAAGCTCTTTTCTTCGTTCTAATGATACTTGTTTTGCAGGTAATTTGGTGAATGTGGCCATACCTCGTCCCAGACCAGATGGAGAACCTTCCGCAGGTGTTGGAAAGGTAATTCTACCACCTGCTATGGGCAATGCTCTTCTGCCTCCCTGGGTATCTGCGTTTGTCTTCATTTTTCTCCCTCTGGGTGTTGGAAATACATGGGTGCTCATGTGTCTTTCTGCTTTTGGTTTTTTTATGACGTTTGGAGGAGGGGGTAAGGGGTGTTGGCTGCTACCATGTTACAATACTCTCCCATCATAAGTTGCAAATTATCTGTTATATTATGATTCGTTGTCTCTGATTCTTTTCTATCCTCTGTGGCCAATGTGCCTACTGTGCAAGACTTAGGAAATGATGGATTTGGGGGTTGATAATGTAGTGCTTTGTTGCCATAAAAGACCTGACCGCAAATTAATAATTGTAGTGCTTTGTGGCCAATCCTTGGTAATGGACCATCCTCTACTAAAAATTGTAGATGAGGGTCGAGATCATGTCTCCTTTGGTGCCCTGAACCAATGTAATGAAATGTATGAAGTGATATTAAATTGCCAATCCAGCATTCTTATCACTGATGCAATTGCTGGATTCCAGAAAATGCTCTGCATGGATCCTAGAAGAAGCAAGATGCTCTGCAAGAACTTCACGATCTTATTACCTCGAAGAGATCCCGAGCATGGCAAAATACCCTTGAGAGGATTATGTTCAAGTACATTGAGCTATGTGTTGATATGCGGAGGGGGAGATTTGCCAAGGATGTTTAAGTACATTGAGCTAATGTTCAAGTACATGAAAAATGTAGATGAATGTATTCATTTTCATATTATTATAATAGTTTGATGACATTGAGCTATATGTTCAAGTACATGGAAAATGTAGCTGAATATATTTCATTTTCATATTATTATAATATTTTGATGTTATTAAGTGCTTAATCAATGTTAAATACAAATTCTAGAAATTAATTTTTCTTTAAATTACATTTAAAATCGAATAAGAAAATGAAATACATTCATTTTGGTGGGTAATTTAAATTATCCATGAATTTTGCCACGAATAAGTTCGTTGCAAAAAACTGACCAAAAAAAAAATGGTGACAAATTAGCCATGAATTTTGCCACGAAATGTGTTCGTCGCAAATTAGCGATAAATTTTGCCACGAATAATTAAGAACGATTTTTGCCACGAAAATATTTCGTCGCAATTTCGCGACCAACAAAAAAAAGTTTTAAAAAAAATAGCGACGAATTTTGCCACGAATACAGTTCGTGGCAAATTAGCGACGAATTTTGCTACGAATATTTAGCGACGAATTTTGCTACGAATTTTTTTTCGTCGCAAATTAGCCACGAATTTTGCCACGAATACAATTCGTGGCAAATTAGTCACGAATTTTGCCACGAATAATTAGCGACGAATTTTGCGACGAATTTTTTTTCGTCGCAAATTAGCCACGAATTTTGCCACGAATAATTAGCGACGAATTTTGCGACGAAGTTTTTTTCGTCGCAAAATTTTGCGACGGCCTATTAGCGACGAATTTTTTTCCGTCGCTAATTTCGTCGCAAATTAGTTTAGCAACGAATTTTGCCAAATTTTTCGTGGCAAAATTCGTCGCTAAAACCAACTTTTTTTGTAGTGAAAGTGGGCAAAAGTCGTTATCGCTCAAAGATACTTGGTAAAACCAACGAAGATAATACTTGAAGGCATACCACCCGCCTGGGTGGCGCTGCTGGAGCGCGCACTCTTCCTCTCGCAAAAGGTTGAGTGTTCGAATCCCGGGCACCGCAGGGTGACTTAACCGGTGGCACGTGTGTGGTGGCTAGCACGTGTCGCCCCCAGGGTTTACTCCCCGGCTGTCGGCCGTGCGGGGGTTCCCTGGGTTACCAAAAAAAAAATAATAATAATACTTGAAGGCAGTGTCCCCTTCAAGAATGGAGCACAGACGGAAGCTTAGTAGTCGGGCTCCATCGCTATCGTAAGGATTGTCAAGGTGATATTTTGAGCTAATATAGACCGATCTAAGGATGGTCATGGATCGATTTACGAATGTCGTATAATTGGATTGCGGGTGATTCCGCCTTGCCAGAATATGAAATTTGCGAACGATCTCAAACCTATTCCAAACGATCGCGTTCTTTAGAACTAATGATTAATCCTCACAATTACATGACAATCGAGGTCACCATGGCTCAAGTGAACTTAAACGTAGCTCGATTTAGTATCGACCACAGGTCGAATATACAAATTTTCCCGAAAGCCGCCCGTTAATAAGCTCAAGTTGTGTTTATTTGAGTTTGGCTATTAATTAAAGACCGAGTTTGGGCATCAAAAATTTCGATAGTCATGATACAATATTTGGACGACGTCAGAAGTACCGTTGTCAGTTTTGAATTTGCTCGAATTTGTCAGAAAATTGGAATTTTGGAGGAAAATGAAAAATGACCGTTTTACCCTTGAGATTTTATGAAGGCCAAGTATAAATGAGAGGGGCATTTTGGTCATTTCACACCAACTTTAGAGATAAAAAATTTTGGACGATTTTGCCCTTGCACTTTTTGTGAAATTCCAACTTTACCCTTGGATATTTTTTATGGGATTCGATTTGGGCCGTCGATTTTTAGATAAGATTGAATCGTGACCGTCGAATGGAAAGTAGAGAGAAGGGCAAGATGGTAATTTCCTTGGGGGTAGACACCAATTATTGGATTGTTAATATTTATTCTCTCTCTCTCTCTCTCTCTCTCTCTCTCTCTCTCTCTCCTCCTCACTCTCACGTTCTCTCTCCCTCTCCCCTCTCTCTCAGCCGATCACCCTTTTCCCCCTCCGCCTCACGTGAAGTGACCAGCCGGCCACACCCTTGGCCATCGTCGCCGCCGTTCCGTCAAGCCGCCGTTCGCCTCTCCGCCTCGCCACATCACCGCCACCACCGTCCCTCTCTCTCTCTTGTTTTTCCCTTTGGCCGAAACACCATCACTAGCCACCACTTTTCAACCAAGAACAGCTGAGAAACCAGCAGCCCATCGCCGCCGTTCGTGGACGCCGGTGAGTCGCCGGTACCCCTTTTCGTGGGACGCCGCCGCCGCTGCTGTTTGCTCTTTGTCCAGCCACCTTTGAGGGCTTGATTTTGCGTGAAATCACAAGTAAGTGATATCCTAACCCTCGCCTAGGATAACGGGTAATTTCGGGTTAGTTCGGGCCCGTTTTGTGGATTTTAGGGGTTAATCGTGGAACAATGGTTGGACTGATTTGGCTGAGTGCTTTGGGTGGAATTATGATAATTTTTTAGGTGGATTGGAGGTTAGAATTGATTTATTTGGTGATCGGAATAATTACGGATGATTATCATGATTTATTGCGTGAAAAACGGGCCTAAATGTGCCATTATAGTGATTTTTCTGTGATGGCCGAATCACTGTTCATTCTGTGGCTGAATTGATGCATATTGGTGTTTGAGACATAGTGCGTGTTGGTTTGGGGTTGTCGGTAGGAGTACGACGCCCGTGAGTGGTGAAATTTGGCTTAAATGCAAAAATTCGCGTTAAATTGTGCATGTGCGAATTTAATTGGTAAAATTGTGAGTTGGCATGGCTTACTGGTAGCCTGTATATGTTGGATGACGTGTGCGAATTAGTCGTATGAAATTGGCATGAGATTGGGTGCCGATGTGTTACATGGCCATTAAATACCCTGAGACATTTTTACGCAGGGTCCAGATAATAAATGGAAAATGTGTGCACGTGTGATAACATAATCCCTGATGCATTTTACGCGGGGAATTAAACCCGTCCTAAGGCGTGTACTGTAACGCAGGATGATGCTCGGTATTACCAGAAGACCGCCAACCTGAGGCGTGTTCGTTTATGCGGGTTGTGCCGTAGGTGGAGGATGTTGAGCCTGAGGCGTGTACTGTAACGCGGGCAAGAGACATAGCCTGAGGCATGTACTGTAACGCGGGCTAAGGAGTGTTGTGAAAATGAGACGGTTGTTTATGCTGTAGGTGGAGGATGTTGAGCCTGAGGCGTGTACTGTAACGCGGGCAAGAGACATAGCCTGAGGCGTGTACTGTAACGCGGGCTAAGGAGTGTTGTGAATATGAGATGGTTGTATGTGGACCGTGGATTGAAAGTGGGCCTGAAGTGTGTACTGTAACGCGGGTCAGAAATGAATGGGATGCATGTGCTCGAGTGAAATGGGAATCGTATGATGTTATGTTTGTTAGGCGAATGTGAGAATGGAAAGTATTCGGTCTATCGATGATATATGTGCATACATTGGCCATGTTATGAGGATGAGTGTTTTGTGGTGACTGCTTGTTATAATGATTGGACTAACGTGCAGGGTGGTGCATGTGCCGCCGAGGTAAGGCCAGTATGCTTGTGAATGTTATAGCATGTCAATTGCTGATTGATTGTGTGCTTGAACATGCCCAGAGATACGTGTTAGCCTAGGTTGGGTTTAAGGTGTTGCTTACTGAGAAGTATTCTCACGATTTTATTTAAAACCATTTAGCCGATCGAAGTTCCAGCGGAGTCGGGAGACAAGGACAATCCGATTGAGATCAATGCTAAGTCCAAGTCTTCAGAGGAACAGACTGACATCGACGAGACTGATTCTGAGTGGACCCCCCTCTAGGGCAAATAGGGGTTAGTTAGAGGTTAGGGGTTGGACAGTTTTGAGATGTGCCCCTTTTTTGTGGTAGTATTTGTCACGCCCCGAACCCTATCGAGCTCGCGACATCCCGCTCCGGTTGAATTATTGCGACGTCCCAGGAACATCACCGACCCAATCCCAAACACCAGAAACACATGCGGAAGCGAATACAAAACCCTGACTATAAAGACAACGACAGGGCAGACTACCAAAATAGTCAAATAATAACAACCTCATTCATTTATATACAATGCCAAAGCATTATACATACAAACATCATATTATACACGAGCTTAGCAAACAAGCATTCACAACCACCGACATAACAAAAAGGATCAGGTGGCTTGGTTAACCTAGCTTCACTATAGGACGACCTATTCCGTGCAACTCCTAAAATACCCTAAGGAAACCTACTGGTCGCCCTCTTCCAATCTGCTCCTGAGGATCACCTGTAGCTCCACTGGGCACCATGGACGGCTCTCCGAACTCCAAAAAGAGGAGGCGGACCTCCCGGGTTTAAGATTGGGGTTCTGAAAGTGGTGGTTACACAACCATGAGACGAATCTCAATAAGTATACAACCCCAAACCCCACGTAGGCTCTTACATACCGCCAGACGAAACACGCACGACACGCACAGCAATTAACCATACTCACAAACACATGTGATCCTACCTGGAATCCATCATGCACATCCCTGCACGTCAGATAATAATACAACCAACATTCCACAGTAATGCATCACAATCGCGCGTATGCCTCGATTAAAAGGCAAAACCCACTTGGGCATGTCCCATACCATGCCTAGCGAATTTTACCCCACAATCGAGCACTACGATACACGATATCAACCACACTCGCACACGAACTCACGCCATGCATCAATTCTCACACGCCAAACCAATTCCAGCTCATTCTCAACTTTCCACTACTACCGCGTCCGCGTAAAACGCATCAGGCCAACGGTCTTCTGACCTCGTCAGGCATCGTCACCCCGTCGGGCCGGGCATCATCACCTCATCAGGGACGGCATCGTCCCGCGTAAACGAACACGCCTCAGGACGGAATCCTACACTCAACTTTCCTTCTACCACGCCCGCATAAAACGCATCAGGCCAACGGTCTTCTGATCTCGTCAGGCATCCTCACCCCGTAGGGCCGGGCATCGTCACCTCATCAGGGATGGCATCGTCCCGCGTAAATAAACACGCCTCAGGACGGAACCTTTCCAACCAGTCCTACATTTCCGTAC